GCTGATCTCGTTCCACCAGGATTTTGTGAAGTTTGTGCAAGAAAAACTGGAGCAGCATGAGCGGGAATGGGCGTGACGAGTGACTCTTCGATGATTCTAACAGCATGACAGGGACTTGAATCGAGCGGAAATCATGGGAGGACGAGGAAGATATCATACGTATTGCCTTGCGAGTCATCACTACCAGTAGATAATGTCGTGATGTTCAGGTGCAGTCCAACCCTAACGGAGGGGGATGGGGGGGACGCGTCGACGAGTAAATCACTCTCCCTCATTCTCTGACCGCCCCGCCTGACGTTGGCGTGTAGAGCGCACAAAAGGATATCTGACCTTGTCATACCTGCCGAGTACGACGAAGGTCGCCTGCTGTTAAGCGAGCAAGGAGCTTGACATACTTGCTGTAGCCGGGAGGGTGATCAACAAAGGAAAGGTCATCCTCAAGGTCGGTTCGGCTCAACCCTGCTGGACCGTTGCTGAGGATTCTCGTTACAGGGGGTCACCCACGAACTGCCCAACGACCATCGCTCAGTCCAGGCGCTGAACAAACACGTCGCGTTGTCATTCGAGGTGAGGAAAGAAGTTGAGAGTACTGTTTCGCTCATGTCGGGTCGACTCGTTAGATTCTGAACGAGAGGCCGGCCCGCAAGGTCTCCTTCAAGGTTGATGCTTGTTCCCCTGATGATCGTCCTACTAAAGTTGGAGCGGCAGGTCAAGACAGCAGAACTCCCCTTGGAACCCAACGAAGTCTTGAACCCCTCGGAGCTAGCGAACAAGGAACATTCTTGCGACCGATCTTGCTCGTCCTCATAGCATTAACATGCAGGTATCTGCACCGAACGAGCCTGTGACTCGGACTAGGATGGAAGCGTCGAACTGGCTGGAGACTCACCAAGAGGGTCTGAGCCACACATGGTGAACTCGTTCTGAAGTTCCCTCCCCTTCTCATCAACTCTTAACAGGATCCGATCTACTCTCAAGATAGAACCCTCGCTGATGTCGCTCAAGCTTCCCCTGTTGTCCCAGGAGCCCTGTGAAGCTGACATCCAAGCTGCAATGGAAGCTCACGATGTGTCATCCTGCGCTCGTGAAAGTCTGCTATCCTCTTGACTGCTGTGCAGAAATTCCGCAGGAATCCATCCTTCATCGACCAGGAGGAGAGGCCCATGTCAAGTCGGCGAAGTTTGGCTGGACAGCCTCCAGTCACCGTACGGGTACCTGATGAGCTCTGCTTCGTGCTTCATGTAACGTCGAGTTTGTCCATCAACGAACAACGAAGATTCGGAGGAACCCCCTCTCCCTCAATCCCTTCCACGAGTCAAGATCAGGAAAGAGGGTAGTCAAGGGAGCTGATATCACCGAGTCTCCTCGTGGAATCGAAGAGAGAAACGAGCAGAAGGTACAAGTAACTTCCAGCAGCTCTGGGATGCCGTCCTCACAAGCTCTCCTCTCTCAGGTACTGCAGCGTCCAGTGACGGCAGATCTGCTGCGCATCGACGGGCAGCGAAAGCTCTTGTGAGTCCCGCTCCAGCTCCCTCCTCCTCCGTCTCAAGAGTTCACTCAGGAGGGCAAGGGCGTCGAGCACTCAGCGCAACGAGGAGTACAAAGCTTTCCCCCATGGACTAGGTGAACAGCGAGAGGGAGGAGGAAGTTTGCTCAATGTCCTCTCCCCACAGACTTGAAGGGAATTCCTCCGTACTCAAAACGAGGTATGATAATCTTCGTACCGAGCAGGACGACCTGACAGGACAGCTGTCGCAGAGAGTCATGGGGAGGACAGCAATGCAAGGTCCACGTCCTCCTACTAGCACTCAACATCGCAAGTGACATGATAGAAATATCAGGCCGCAGACAGCAAGGAGGGCGGACAATCGGGATTCCCACCACATGCGAGCTGTTGTTCTCAACAAGGTGCTGTATGAAGACGATTTGCCATCTGATTTTCAGCAGGTCAAACGCCCGCTAAGTGCTCGTCCACATCTCTCGATTCTCATCCCCTACAAGAACAGCAGCAGACCTCCGACAAGTCAGTTTCTTGAATAAACTCCCGAGTTCACATGTGTTTACTAGTCTCAAGACCGAGGGTAATTGGGGCGGGCCCGGCCGCTGCCTACCTAAACCCTCGTGTCCGAGGGTCTGAACAAAACCTCAGTTCAAGTGGTCGACTGACACATAACAAGTTTGTGGGCAGATAACAAGCAGGTGCTGGTAAGATTTGTGATGTGAACACATGTTCAGTTGTTTGTCCTTGTTGTCTCTTGACATGTTGTTGCACAGCAAGCACTCCCACCTTCGCTCATCGTTCTTTGTTGTTTCCACCTCCACCATTGTCTCCATCGTCAACCTGCATATCCTCCTCTTCTTCTTTCTTCATCCGCTACTCTCTGGAGCACTCTTGTACCCTCCATCCTTTCCCACATCTACCAGCAGCAAAGCAGCAGCTGCATGCAACAAGATGCGTTATGAGCTGCATGCCAAGAGCGTCCCTGAGCTCGTCAAACTAGTTCCCGTCCTAAGGAAGTACAACATCACTAAGGTTAGGGAGAGCAGGAGAGGGCTGTGTGCGAGGATGACATGATTCAGGTAAACCTGCCGAACAAGTCCAACAAAGATACTCTGAACGACTTCGCACAAGTTCTGTGGGAGAATGTTCCCAACGTCGACATCTGCCTTCATTGGAGCGTGAAGAACCGCAAGCTCAGGACAGCCCAGGAGACGCACAAAACCTTCATTAACGACGTGACAAGCCCTCCAGCAGGGGTGGGCAGCTTCCTGTTGGTCTCTGGCTCTGTTGTTTCATCGTCCTTGGACTCCATCACCTGTTTGAAGGAGCTTGCGGGCAGCAGGCAGAAGCATGCGGAGATAGGAGTAGCTTTCAACCCATACTTCCCTGATGTGAAGGAAAGAGAAAGAGAGCAGCAGAGGCTCAAGGAAAAGGTTGCAACCGGATGCGTCTCGCACGTCTGGTTGCAGTTTGGAAGCAACATGGAGCTGCTGAGAGAAGGTCTCCGATTCCTCCAGGCCGTGAGGTCTGCCTCCTCCACCGCCAGCCCCTTCAAGATCTTCGGTTCCCTCTTCGTTCCCAGCAAGAAGTTTCTCGCTCAGGTGCTTGTTGACTTGCTTTCACGGATATTTGAAGACATGTCATTGAACTTGTTCTTACCGTCAGATGAAATTCCGACCATGGAAGGGTGTGTTCCTCTCAGAGGCGTTCCTGGACTCGGTTGGCGGGAGGGTGGGCTTGGTGTGTATCTGAGAATCTATTTGCACAGGTTGACAAGGCGGATGCTGTTGTGACGGAGATAGTGACGATCTACCGAGAGTTTGATGTCGAAGTTCTGATAGAGACTGCATGCGTGAAAGAGGAGGATTTCCGACGAGTAGAACAGCTCGTCGGCTCAGTGCAAGTCAACAAGTTTCATGCTGCTGAGAGTGAGCAATGCGGTGAAGATGACAGGTATGTGAATGTAACAAGCATGGTTTCAGGCACATGACTTTGTCTGCATGTAGTGCAAGGGACGGAGTCGTGTCGTTGGGGAAGCGGTTGAAATGTCAAGAGCAGGAAGACGGGCTCCGAGACACGAGCGTTAGCTTTGATCAATCCAACGATGAGCGTCCCCTAAAGAAGGACAAGTTCTTACAAGCCACGACCGAGGTGTGTTTCCTTCCGTGTCTTCTTCTTTCCTTCCCGCTGAAACCTTTGTTGTTGCTGCCCTTGTTTCCTCTGCAGAGGTCTCAAACCTCACAAGTCGACGGGTCACCTGTGGTCGTGCTCTTCCGCAACGACCTTCGGCTCGAAGACAATCCAGCGCTCTTCCATGCGGTACGTCATCATCGCTCTTCGATCAAGCTTGACCTGATCATGTTTGAATTTGCTCCTCCATGCACCGCAGGCGAGCCTTTGTCGTCCCGTCCTCCCTGTCTTTGTGTGGGACCCTGAAATCGGAAGTGAACATTCGCTGGAGAGATCTGCAGCAGCTGTATGTTACAACCTTGTGCATGATTTCTACGATTATCATTCTGTCTCATGAATTGTTCTTCTCGTGCCTTTCTCTATCTCATTTTTCTTTTGTCCTCCATTTCCCCTCCTTTGTCATCTCACACCCTCTTATTCCTTTTGTTTTCAATGCAATTTTGCTTTGATTCGGTTCTCCTTCTAAGGTGTGGTTGGAGGAATCGTTGAAGGTATTTCAGAAATCCTTGACAGACAAATACGGGATCGATATCATCTTCAGAAAAGTTTCGAGCAAACCTGATGCGGCTGAACAAGAGAAGTCATACTGTCGACAAGTGCTGGATGTCATGAAGGAAGCTCAAGCTACTGCTCTGTATGCAAACAGACTTTATGAGCCCTGGCTAAGGGATCAGGATGAGGAGATGAAGTGTCTTGTCGAGGTTTCCCGCCCCTCCTCTCTCTCTTGTATTCTCTTTTCTTTCGTTTTCCTCTTCTCCTTGCTTTCTCTTCTTGCTACTTTTTTCCTTTCTTCATCGTTCAATTTTTGTCTTTCTCCTCTTTCCTGGCCCTTAACTTGTCATCTTTCCTTTCTCGTCTCATTGTGTTTGCCTTCCGTCTCTTTGCAAGCACTTTCTTCTGCCTATGTTTTCTTTCTGCTATAGCTTCTTGCCCTGTCATTCTCCATCTCCTCATCAAATCTTATCCTTCACAGGCTGAAGGGTCCTCCGTCCATCTCTTCGACGCATCGTTGCTGTACCGTCCTGAGGACATTGCCATTCCTCCTGGATACGACGGTCGAGGACACTGGGGAACTCTGACACCCTTCCTTCGCGCATGTAGCCGGCTTCCTCCTCTCCGTCGTCCTCTTCCTCAGCCGAAGACACTCACCCGAGCGAGACAAGCTCCTTGCTCTCTGCGGCTGGAGGAGCTGGAGATGGCAAAGATGCCTGTCGGCAGAGATGGAAGGATGATCGACTGGGGAGCAGGAGTGAAGAGTAGCTGGAAGTTCGGAGAGGAAGCAGCAATGGTGAGGGAGGAGCAAGGGGAGGAAGCAGAGGAGAAGTGGAAGAGGAGGAGGAGGGAGGAGTAGCGGAAGAACGGCCAAGGAGGAGGTTTCAAGGGAGGAGGAGGGGGAAATGAAATGAAGTTTATGATTGCAGGAGGAAATGAACAAGTTCATCAAGTCGAAGCTGATCAAATACGAGAGTTCTCGCAGTCGTGCGGATGTTCCCGTGGTGTCGAGACTTTCTCCGTACCTGAGGTGTGAAGGCTAGTAGGGCTCCGAGAAAGGGAGGGAGGGAGGGAGGGAGGGAGGGAGGGAGGGAGGGAGGGAGGGAGGGAGGGAGTATGTTGATCTGAAGCATTTGTTCTGCTCTTATAAGTCCTCCAGTAGTAGGTAGTTGATTGTATCCGATTCGGTGTTTTTGAACTTTTGGCGCTCTTCTCAGTTTTTACATCAAGTTCTCATCAGGTTTGGAATCCTATCACCCAGGACTTTGCATTTTGCCGTCGTAGACACCCGCTTGAGCCAGGACAAGATCAAAACTTTCTCACGTCGCCTCTTCTGGTAATGAGACTCCTTCAGTTCCATCCTCCTCCCCCCTTATCTGTTTCCCACTATTGTCCGTTGTCTTCCATCTCGTGTCTCCTGTCTGAAGAATCATTCTACTTCTTTCTTCGATTTTCCTTTCCCTCCCACACATTTTCTGCTTGGTTGTCCTCTCTCTTTCCCTCTGTCTTTGTTTTTCTTTCTCCCTTCTTCCTCCTTCCTTTCTTTGTGCTCCTCTATCTTGTTCTGTTCGCTGATGCTGTCTTTGCAGGAGAGATCTTGCATATTTCCATCTTCACACTTTTCCTGACATGTCGCATGTCCCCATTCGCAAGCACTACAAAGATCAGGCAATCCTCCTCCCCCTCCTGTTCAACCCCCCCCCCCCTCCTCTTCCCTTGCCCCCCAGCACTGGCACTGCTACTAGTACGGGTGCTTGATGTTGTCAATCTCTCCCGCAACATCCTCTCTCAACCGTCAGCCCTCGGTCTCACAGTCCGCGTCCTTGGGACTTGTTCTACTGTCTTCTTACCCTCCTCTTTCACCGCTCCGTTTGCTCCTTCCGCTCTTCCTCTTCTCCCTCGGCGAGTGCTGACCGACCGATGCGGTTGTGACAGTGGTGGCGGGAAGACGAGGAGCTGCTGTCAGCGTGGAAGCAGGGGAGGACGGGATTCCCGATGGTGGACGCGGGGATGAGAGAGCTGTATGCAACAGGATGGATGCACCAGAACGTGCGCATGATCGCAGCGTCGTTTCTGTGCGAGGTGAGAGTTTAAAGAACGACGATAGAGGAGAGGAACGGGGATGAGCGGAGGAGGAGGACAAAGGCTTTCGATACTGAGGGATGAAAACATGAGAGTGCGTGAAGAAGCGAAAAGAGGAGGAGGGAGCTGGAAAGAATAGGAGAAGAGGAGAACGCAAGGAGGGGAGAGTGTGTGAAAACATGGAGGAGGGAGCCCGATGGACGGTGAATGGAAGGGAACAGTGCGGTCTAATACCAGCCTTTCAGTACTTGTGTATCAGCTGGGTCAAGGGCTTGGAATGGTTCCATGAGACGTTGGTGGATCTTGATCATGCCATCAACGCGATGATGTGGCAAAACGCTGGGCGGTCAGGAATCGATCAGGCGAGTAGAAGCAGAGGAGGGAGAAACACAGAGAGCGAGCAGTCTGGTGGAAGGATGGTGGCAGTGCAGAGGAGAGGAGGTCAGGGGTAACGGGGAGGAGAGAGAGAGTTTGGGTTGCTGGATGGGGGAAGGGGAGGGTGAGGAGCGCTTGTTTTGACACATCAGGTACAGTGGAACTTCATTATGAGCCCAGAAAATGGATCGCAAGACCCAACAGGAGCATACGTGCGAAGGTAGATCCTTTATCTTAGATTTTACTTTGCTCCTTTCCTGCCCGTTCTCTCTTCCTCTCTTCCCTCTCCCTCTCCCTCTCCCTCTCCCTCTCCCTCTCCCTCTCCCTCTCCCTCTCCCTCTCCCTCTCCCTTCCCCTCTCCTTCGACCTCTCCTCTTCCCCTCTCCTCTCTTCCTCTCCTTCTCATCCTCTCCCCTCGTTCCCTGTCTGTTTTTGATCTCGCACAGGTGGGTACCAGAGCTTGCTCAGCTCAGCAACAAACACATTCATGCACCATGGACAGCCAGCGAAAAAGTGAGAGGACTTTCCTGGCTTTCCTTGCATCTTCTGCTTCAACCCCTTAATGCTCTTCCTCAGTCACTGTCTCAACATTCGTATGCCTCCTCTCCCTCTTCTTCTCCTCTCCTCTCCTCTCCCTCCCTCTCCACACCTCCCCTAACCCTCCATCTTCTCCCCTCCCCTCCCCATCCCTCCCTCTCCTACTCCTCTCCTCTCCTCTTCCTCTCCTCACCACTCACTCCCTCACTTCTCGTTCCCTCGCAGGACTTGTCGGCAGCAGGAGTGAAGCTCGGAGAGACCTACCCTCATCGCGTCATCACTGACCTTCGCGGAGCAAGGGCCGAGACAGTCACGTGAAGTTGCATGCCGGCATGGCGTCCAGTGACAGACACGCAGGGCGATGTTGGAGATGAGGAGGAAGAATCAAGCATACAACGATGAGCGGGGGTGACATCAGGACACTCATTCGCAGCGTGTAAAGCATGTAAACAGATACGACCTGATCAATCTGCCAACGGGAGAGAAGACAAAGGTGATATATGAGGGGCATCGAGTCGAATCTAGATCATTCTTTCTTGTGCAGGTGTTCACTAGAGAAGAGTTCCGCATTGACAGGAAGGGCAATGTCATGCAAATCTTTCATCAAAAGAGGTCACAGGTATGTCGTTTGTGTGTATTCCTTTGTCATCTCGCCGAATCACTTCATATCAGAACAAGAAGGTATCATCAGACACAAAACCAGCCTCGAAGAACCAATCGATCAAGAATTTCTTTCAAAAGAAGTCTCAATAAATCTCATCAATCTTTCATCGTGTAGTAGCAGCATTCAAATAATAGTCGGATTAATTAGAACGTATCGGAAAGGTTTAGAGTAGTCTTGTCGGGTACCTTCCCCCCCGATCATTCTAGTCTGAACTGTCGCACAGGCCATACGGCGAGAAGAGAAAAGACTGAGAGAACCAACGGCCCTTGAACCCTCATCCTGTACCGACTCCCAGTGGGCCCGCTGATGGAGCATAGTATGCCAGCCGTGCCACTGAGTCCGATAGCGCCAAGTTAACAAAAACTCTCCTGTAAACCAAGACGACTTACATGTTTCGAGGCGGCCAATGTAGCGAAGAGAGGGCTTTCCTAGCCGTCTTACTAAGGTCCTCGCATGTACGGTCTGGATGCTTGGGTTTCTCTCATGTGCTCCTCAATTCTGGTTTTGTGTGCATTAAACTCGGTCTTGAGCAAAAACTGTCTTGTAACAACTAAGGTCGATGTGATATCTGCGTGACTTTGGACTAGTACAAGTCTAACAAACTTGTATTCCGTCACCCGCCCGGCCCGGGCCCGCCCACCGGCCGGGCGGGCCGGAACCTGCGTCCGATTCTAGTCCAACGGCGATTTGTACCGTGCTTGAGTTGAGTAAAAGCGCGAGATCTTTTCCTTGGAAGGATTGCATGGCGGATCGATAGCGAGGGCGATGGCGCCGAGGAGGAAGATGGTGGAGCAATGGCAGAAGTCTGCGAGAACAAGCATGCGAACAAGCATGCGTGTCTCAATCGCTCTCCTCTTGTGCATCACGAGCATGTGGGCAGTGGTAGACGGTCAGGAGGGAGAACTGCTGTCTGAGAAGGAAAGAGCGCGAAGAGAAGAGGCGAATCGTCTCTTCAGCGTGGCTAATGCATACAGAGAACAAGGTGATCATGTACATGCAGCAGAGATCTTCGAGGAGGTCGCGGACCTCGCATACGACAACCCTGATGCCCAATACCATGCCGGCATGGCACACTTGCAGGCGGGAAGGCTCGACGACGCCAAGTTTCGATGGGAAAAATGCCTTGAGCTTCAGCAGGACCACTCGGTCGCCATGTTCAATCTTGCGACGCTCTTTGCTGAAACAGGGAACGTGGTCAAGGCAACAGAGATGATGCACAAGGTGCTGCAGCTCCAGCCTGAGGATCCTGACAACTATAAAACGCTGGCCATCCTTCTGTTCAAGCAAGACAAGAACCAAGAAGCCATCGCTGAGTATATGAAATGCATCCACAGGGAGCCATTGCATGCTGATTGCTATTGCGGGATGGGGAATGCCTTTGTGCGCATTGGGAAATATGATGAAGCGCAAGAAGCCTACACAGCTGCAGCAAACATTAACCCGAACGAAGCTGGATACTCGAATAACATCGGAAACCTTCTGGTCAGACACCATCGCTTCAATCATACAGCCCAGCAGTTAGCGATCAAATATCTTAAGAATTCTGTTTCTCTCGATGGTACCTATGCCGATGGATACTTTAATCTGGGCGAAGCTTATTCGGCTGTATCTCAATATGACTTCGCCGTAAATGCCATCAAACTTGCCATGAAGCTTGATCCCAACAGGCAAGACTACAAGTGTACACTTCATCTTGACATGCGAAAACTGTAAGCTCTCTCTCTCTCTCTCTCTCTCTCCTCTCCCCACCCAAGTTACCCCCCACCTGACCCCCTTCCCTCTCTCTCTCTCTCTGTGCAGCAATGACTGCCTAATGTTCTTCAGGTGTGATTGGACGGATTTTGAGGAGTACAAGGATGATCTTGAAAGGATGTGGCAGTATGGCATACCAGACATCATGAAGAAGAAAGGAACCTATGTCCCAACTCGTAAACCAGGGCAGCCCAAGAGTCGGCGGCGAGAATATGACGTCACAATCTGCCCGAATCCTCTAGAGTCCCTATCGTACGAATTGTCGCTCAATGTACTGCGGCATATCGCCGAGGCTCATGGGCAGGAAGCACGAACTTTTGTGAGGAATTTTCAGCGTTTTCCATTGAATCCTTTACCCATGACAGATGGAGTACTGAGAGTGGGTTACGTCTCAATAGAGTTGCGTGACAGGCCAGTGGGAAAGGACATGGTTTATGCCTTCCGAGCGCATGACCCTTCTAAAGTGTCCCTGATATGCTTTTCTCTGAATCCGAACCCGAGGGAAGGAGTTGATAGCGAGGAAACTCTGTCATGGCATCGGAAGATGAAAGCTGAATGCAAGGGAGGGTATCTGGACCTGAGCTCTACCGCCTTCTATGAAACCGCCTCGGCCATCAACCGCGAGCAGCCTCATGTGCTGATCAACCTGGACGGTTGGACTTCAGCGCCCTTGATCAACGAGATCTTCATCCTCTCCCCTGCTCCTATCCAGCTGAGCTTCAAAGGATTCCCCGGCACCACAGGCATAGCTGAGCATCACGGAATCGTTGCGGACCGGAAAGTCATCCCTCCTGAATTCTCGGAGTTTTACGTGGAGAGGCTGGTTTACATGCCTCACAGCTATCACTACAACGGCCATGACAGTCTCTATGCACACCTTGCTGAGCTCGACCCTTCCTCCTGGCCCAGTCGTGCGGAGTTGGCAGGGGGGTCATACTTCATGAAGTCATCTGGATCGAACTCGCGCAAGCCAGAGTTCTTCCCTGCAGATGCGATCGACTCGTTCATCCTGTGCAACTTCAACCAATTCTACAAGATAACACCCAAGGTTTGGCAACTCTGGATGCACTTGTTGGGTCAGGTTCCTGATTCTAAGCTCTGGCTTCTCTCGTGGAATGAAGCTGGCAAGCAATCTCTCCTACGATACGCCAAGCAGTCAGGCATCCCCTCCGATAAACTGATTTTCACTACCTTCTTTGAGGAAAAATGGCACGTCGCGTCTAAGGCGAACTGTGATCTCTTCGTGGATACAAGGCCGTACGCGGCACATGGGACAGCAGCGGACGCTCTCTTTGCAGGGCTGCCGATCATCTCTGCTCCTGGGGAGTCGATGGCATCGCGGGTGAGTCTGAGCCTGAGCCTGGCGTCAGGCATCGGCGATCTCTTCATCGCTAGGAACGACCAGGACTATGTCAGGCTTGCTCAACACTTCGCGCTGAAGGGGCGAAAGACGTTGAGATCCTTGAAACAGGCGATGCAAAGGTCAGCTATCAAGTCTGCTGCCTTTGACAGTGCGAGATGGGCGTCGAATTTCATCTCGGGGTTGCGCATGATGTACGATGCGTTCGTGATGGAAGGCGCAGTACACAACCATCACATACTGCACGATGCTGGGACAGATCATAATGCCGCAGCGAAGAGGGATACCTTACAGGAGGATGCTGCACGTTCGAGCGTTCACCAGCCTTCTCAGTCGTCATCCTTTCAAGTTCGATCCAAGTCAAAGTTTGAACCGCCGAAGAGCTCGCAGAAAAGTGTCCGCGGCTCGTCCAAATACTCGGCCCCACCTGCATTCCCTGATGAAAGGGCGGAGGAGAAGTTCAAGGCGAAGCAAGCAGACAATGATGATGATGATGATAAGAAGAAGAAGAAGAAAGCTCCTCCTAGATTTTCACATGAAGAGAAGACGGACAGGGAAAAGGTGAAATCAGCGAAGAGCAACAAAGGGCGACGAAAGCTGCCCTCCTGGACTTCCGAGGATAAGGACGAAGGTTTGCGTGCCCAGCTGAACTTGCTCGTTTCTGACTCATCCCCTTGCTTTAGCCAAATCAAGGTCTGGGTGGAAAGTTCCCTCTGAAAAAGTTCGTCTCGATATCCCTCCTCGCCTGGTTCTCCTCCAATCAACTTCTCCTTAGATCTAACTGTTTCCTTCTGCAGACGCTGGATGACAAAGACCTTGAAGATGTTCATCGAGACTCTCCTCCTCCTCCTCCTCCTCCTCCCCGCAGTCAACCGTCTCCAAACAAGGGTAAGAAGGCGAGTCCCAACGTGAAGATACCAGGATGGTAGGTTTAAGACAGATGTCAAGGATTCGAACAAAGAGGCCAAAGAAATTCTTGCGAATCGTGAGAAACGTGTTTGTGGGTGTTTGTCATGACGACATAGCTCTTGGTCACAACTATCAGCTTGCTCAGAAGAAGATTCTCAAGCATCTTAGCCGAACTATCGCCATCTATTTTCTAGATGCACTCCGAAGACTCTGAACATTCACTAATAAATTGCTGCTGCCTTTTTTGGTCTTCTATCGTTTGTTCTGAGGCGAGGTAGTTATAGATAAGTAAATTATTGGGAAATGGCGGGTAGCAGTTGAAATATGAGTAGTCCAGGCGCGAAGGCATGCTGGAAGGAGGAGTAGAGCAGGGAGAGGTATGTCCACACTCCAAGATCGGCATGAGCTTGATCTCAGTGCTTCTTCCCCTCACACATCTGAGCAGTGAATCATATCGCATGCTTTCATCGTGGTAACGAATACAAACAACATGAGCTCTAGACGCCCCACGTCCGCTCATCCTGCGAGGAAGGGAAGGGACGAGGGGTCCAGGGCAGAACTGCGAAGTGCAGGAAGTATGAGGAGGATACCTCTGTCTGCAAGTGCTCGCCCTTCATCTGCGCTGGGGATGCTCCCACTGCGGGAGAAAGACGTTGTTCGTCCTTCTTCCTCCCTCGGGCTTCGTGGAGAGTGGCAGAGCGACTCTGATGCAGCTCTCACCGACGTGCTCGCACAGAGCAGCAGCATCAGAGGCTCTGCGGCAAGAGCAGCGAGGATCCTCGGTGCTCGGGAACGACCCGAGTCAGCTCCCGGGTTCAAAGATGCTCACGACTGGTCCCCGACAGTCGCTGCTCGACCCTTCTCTGCGCTCGCAAAGTACAGCAGCATGGAGACTTTTGCTTCAGATACACATAAATTTGCCATGGACCCCAAGACTGAGCAAGCGATCTGGAAGATTGAAGAAGAAGCTCGAAATACTGTCACAGTCGATGAGTTTGTGAGGCAGAACTCGGAATACTCGATTGAAAGTGACAGCGATGCTGATGATGCTGACATTAAGAAGAAGGTGCGGGAGATAACAGATCTCCGACCACATGAAATGGCCAGACTGGAATCACGCTTCACCAGAAGAATAGGAGATTCGGTTGGACTGCAACAGGTGTTTGTCATAGTTTTTGACTCTAAGTGATTTTATGAAAACCAGGAAGAGTTTGAGTCAGTCATGAAAGAGTTCACAGGTATGGAAGTCGAGTTGGGTGCACAGGTACGAGTATTCTGACTCATTTCACCTTCTTCTGACTTAACTCAGCTCTTCTGCAAAATCGATGCAAACGACGACGGCTGTATCGAGTGGGATGAGTTCCTGTCCTACATCGTTCATGAGGCTGGTACAAAGCTAGAAGCCGCAAAGTGGAAGCCTGAATGCAGCATGTCCACTGGTGTGATGTATCCTGACATCGCCCAGCCGAAAGACATGGTTGGAGCCGCCGTGGTGTGTACCCGTCACAGGTTGATAGTGACCATCGGCATGGTCAAGCGAGATCTTATCTTCTGGAATCTAGAATCCCACGAGAAAGTTTACAGCACTCTTGTCCCGTCCATGACTGAGATAGAAGCCCCGACAGCGGTGAGTCAGACTAAGGCAGTAGCGAGCAGGTCCCTTGCGTACCTCCAGACCAGTAGAGGAGCTGTCTTTGTGTCCAGCGGGACTGAGAACCTGATCCTGGAGTATGACTGCCGCAAGTTCAGAGTCGTCAACAAGATTTTCCCTCAGAGTGTTCCATCCTGCATGTCTATCACACGTATCCCGCATGCCCTGCAAGCAAATAGCAACATGGAGAATGCGTTCTGGTTACTCGTAGGAGACATCAATGGAGAGGTTGCTGCCTACAATTGCAAAACGTTTCAAGTTGCGGGAAGATACAAGGCGCATGACTGGTTTCTTGAAGAGCAGACAGGATTGAATGTGAATGCGATAATTCTCTGGCCGAAAGTGGGAATAATCAGTTGTGGAGATGATGGCAGAGTGGTTGTTGGGGATTACGATTTTTGGAAAGTGAAAGACTACAAAAGTGATGAGAAGCTCAAAGTGTTGGAGATAGTTCAAAATTTGGTGAACGATGCAAGAGATAAAGAGCAACAATATCAGAAAGCAGCGGATCAACACCAAGAATTGCATCATAAGATCACCTACTTTCAAGATTCCGATGCAAGAAGGAAAAGAAACAATAGTTCGGCTTCGAAGGAAAATCTTAATTCACTTAAAGACGAATTGTCCAATCTAGAAAAGGAGCTCGCTTTCAGGAAAGATTTATCTCACACCAGGAACAAGCTTCTGATCGAGTTTTTACTTGGAGTTGCCTCCCTTCCCATCAAAAAACTGGACAAATCGTCTTCCCTTCTTAATGTCGAATCTGACATGCCTGACACGCAAAAATCTTTCAAGCTGAATTCAGATGCTTCCAAGGGCAAGGGGCTTACTAGACAAGCCAGTTCAAGTGTTCTGCAAGAAGTTCCCGAGCTGACAGAGGTAAGCTGTCCTAGAACCTTTTTATTTCTCAATCTGTGATCAAACCTGTTCGTGACAAAATTCAGTGTTTTGAAGGCTGCTCATTCATGTCAAATGGAGTATTGTCAGTCAAACACACATCTTACAAGGCAAGCTTCCATGCCATGCATCGGCAGGCTGCAGTTTGGTGACATGTCTCATGAAAGGAGCCGATGGAGTGGAAGAATGTCTGCCAACGTCTCGACACTGTATTTATTTCTCTGTGCATGTTTCAATCGCAATGACTGCAACAGCTCAAAGGAAAATTGACCAAAGAGGCAGAGAAAGGTCGAAAAACCCTTTCCCTGCATACCACACACCCGCAAACTTGCATCTCCTTTTCGGAAAAGTACAGGTATGAGGTCTACGGGTATGAGGACAACATGTGAGGAAGAGGCAGATGTGTTGTCTGCGGCGGAAAAGACAAAGTGATAAGGTTGTGGAATCCTTTCATAGTGCTCGAGGGGATCGGAGTAGAGGAGCTGAAGGGTCACTCCTCGCGCATCGTTGGCCTCTACATGCTGGACCACATGTCTTCCTTAGGTACCTGGAGGACATGGACGGTTGCGAACTTAACTTGTTATCAGTCTCCGTGTCTGCAGACAAGACAGTGAGAGTTTGGGAGATGCACTCTCTGCAAACAGCACAGAAATTCCTGGTATTGCTGGAGTGTTCTTCTCGAGTTTGGATAATCTGACACTATGACAACCTAGGACACTTTTCAACATCGACCGATAGATCGATTCTCATGCTCATGTTTTGACCAGCAGACAAAGGAGCTGATTACCTTCGGCAACAGAGCTAAGTTCTGGAAGATCGAGAGCAACGCAAACGCGGAAGCACAGTCGTCTGCAAGTTTGACGAAATCTGCTGTTCAATCTGCGATCCGATCACGCAGTGGCAAGACAGAGAAAACAAGATCGAAGAGTTCGACAGAATATCAGCTGCATAATGACGAGTTCATGAAAGAGAGTGGATGGACAGTTGTTGATGTCTCCAAGGTTGTTGACGAACTGCAGCAAGAGTACAAGCGAGGGGAATTGAAATACCTTCCCTCCCTTGACATCCTCTCTTCCAAGGCCACTGTCAGAGAAGATGCAGAGGTGATTTCGTTGAGTTGTCTCGACATGTTCTAACGGTCATCGCAAAGGATCAAAGAAAGCAAGACAAGCTGTGGGTGTCGCTACAAACTCAACTCGATTATGCGAGAAGCAAGGGGACCGGAGAGCAGACGGTCGCAGCATGTTACAGTGTCGTCTTCCACCAGATTATTGTGGTGGGCGTGCATCATGTAAGGACCTTCTGTATGAAGACAGGGAATCAGGTCTCTTGTGATCTTGCCCTCGCACGCAAAGATTGAAGTTATGAATGATCCTAACAGCTCAATACCTTCCGTGTTTCTCAACCCTCTCCCATCACGTCTGCTTGCCTCGACTACTCTCAACGTCGTCTCTTCACCGGGGCTCATGACGTCACTATCCCTTTCTGCCTGTCCAAGTCTGAAAGTTGCTGGCAGGGGAGCGTCAGGAGCTGGAATTTCAACTCAGGTGTCATGCTGAAAGAGTACACGAGGATGAAAAAGGAAATCGCGGCTTTGGTCTATCTCTCTCCAAACAGGTTGATGTCAACAGACGATCTATCAAGACATTCAAGTTCCTGGCAGGTTCATTCAGCGGCCTCTGGTAGGAGCTGGATGGGATCAAGTCATTGTGATGTATCCAGATGGAAAAGATGATAACGCACAAAGCGTGAAGATACAGGTGATCAACATGTGATTTACTACCTTGAATGTGATGAAAGCATGATGTTGTGTGCTGATACGTCATGCTTTACCAGGGTCACCAGGCGGACATTCTTTGTCTTTGTATGATTGAGAAGACATCCTTGGAAGGAGGTTAGCATTCATTGACTGTTGGTCTTCTCAAGACTTGGTTATGTCCTGCATCCCTTTACATCTCTTCTCTTGCGTTGTTCAACTCTATCGGCTGAAAAGATTTGTGATCCCATCGATTCGCACTCTCCAAATGAATGATAGCTCATCGCAAACATCGCTTTCGTTTTCTACCTTGCAATTCTTCATCAATCCTAGAGTTTGCTGCTCTTTTCAATTTACATTATGGCTCGCAGCGACTTCTCTTCTGTCATTGTGCTGCGTAACAATTATGTTTCAGTTTCGTCAAGCATTTCCATTGCTTCGGGAGATGCCGCTGGAAATCTTGTGAGATCGTTGGATTCCTTTGTGACTTGTCATCAGTTTGACTCGGTCAACCAGATTGTCTGGATGGCGTCGAATGGAAGGATGGAGCAAACCTTCACTCCAGCAACGTTTCAATCGGACATGGCGGATCCCTCAGGCTTCATCACTCAAGTCTGTTGTCATGTTCCGATTCTCGCAAACCCGATGACATTTTTGTTTACAGTCCGAGCAGGTTGATTCGAATGTTGGAAACATAGGCCACAATGAGAATAAGGTGGAACAATCTCGAGCTATGATCTCTTACTCGCTTCCAGGTTTCAATCTTCTCTCTGCTGCATATCAAAGGGACGAGTAGCGTGTTGGTGGGGATAGGGAGCGGACACATTCATGTCATCGATGTACATTCCATGCGAAAGGTAGCACGTGCAGGCGAGAGGAGGAGGAGGAGGAGCGAGACTCTGTTGCAGGTCAAGACGTATGCACCCGAAGAGTTTCCTGATGCACTGGATATTACACGGGAAGACTTGGATGAAGTAAGTCACAGACACTGAAAGCGCCGCTGATGCAGCTGCCGTAGACGGACATCAACAAGCTCTGCCTGACTTCTCCTGATGCGATCTCGTGCATGGCTGTGAACTCCGCAAGTGAGTAGTAGAGTTCTGTGTCGTCTTATTGGTTTTGATTGATTTGGTTCCAGAAACGAAAGTTGTGATGGGCGAAGCATCGGGCGCGGTTCAAGTATGGCGGCTGCAGTCTACAACGCCCTTTGTGAACGAAATGTTTCTGATGATATGAAGCTTATCCTCTGACACAGTCGATGTCGCGATCGAAGAGAATGCAAGGACATTGGAAGACAGTAGTGAATATCGTCTTCTCCCCGAAGTCAGGGTTGTGGGTATCGGTGGGAGGCGAAGGATCATGTCGGTATTGTCACCCAAAACTCTCTTGTCACTTTATGATTGATCGCGCACTTTCAAGGCTGTGGGATGGGAAGGAAAAGCCACTTGCTCTCATCGGATCATTGGAGAATTTAGAGTGAGACTGTTTTTGCTTCAACGTGGTGGGTGATCGTTTGACTTTGTTTGCTCAAGAATGTTTCCACGATGGTTGGAAGGCAATCAAAATGCTTTGCAGACTGACTGTCGTTGAAACGTTTTCTTCCAGAGCCAGGAGCTCGGCGGCGATCGTCCTTTGTACAAGTCGCAGGTAACAAGAGTTGTCAACTACTTGTAGCATGACGACTGTTCTTGCGACAGATGGAGAAACGGGAAAGATAGACTCCCCAACCTCAACAGCGATGACATCTTCAGATGGCTTGCGAGAACTTTCTGATCAGGCTTCAGTGGAAGGTGAAGTCGCACAGTCATTGCTCTCTTTGATTTCAATGTGAGCAGAAGAGCCGGTTCCGTTCCATGTCCGATACCCTCCATACATTGCGAAGAGCTTGAGCAAGGCGTCAGAGAGTTCAATGACGGTGATCTTTCTACTGGCTGAGGGCCTCCTAGTCTCATTGCCGTTACCGTAGGCGTTCTACAAGATGAATTCGTTCGATGAGAAGCGAAGCAAAGCAGCGAAAGAGAACACGGAAGAATTTCGAGTAGAGAAGATCCTTGTGAACAAGATTTTGTTGGTGGTAATCTTTTGCTGTGCAGGATGAGAAGAGGGAAAGGATGACAATCAGTCGCCTTCTGAATGATATGCACGTGGAAGCATGCTTGGAGGTCAAAGCAGTGCTCTGGTTTCAGCTCTCAAGTGATTTCATTTCATTTCCAGCTGTCGAATGCGCAACGAGAAAAGATTTCTCAGCTGGAAGATCGATTATCTTCGTTGTACAGAGGACCTCCCCAGTTTCCCAGAGATATTGTTCTCAAAGACATTTTACCTCAGGTATTTCTCACAATGCTGGCTGCTGGCTGCTACTGATGATGATGATGATGATGATGATGATGATGATGATGATGATGATGATGATGATTGCTGTCATTTCGATTGCTTCCTGTAAAATCTTCGTTTGCAGGGAAAATATCCCAACGAGGTCATTCAACGTCTTGAAGATCATTGCCAAGCAAACTCATGTGTTGGCCAAAGACACACTGATGGATTTCTAGGTCATAGAACTTCTCAACAAACATCGCATGTTGATCAAGGATGCATTCCGCACTTATGCTTCCCTCTCACTCAATCAGGTGAAAGAATTTCCATTGTTTAGAGTTCATTGATTCACAAATTTCAAATCAGGTCACGACGCTGGATAAGATTTCACTGTCTGAATTGAAAATCTTTTGCAAAGACAACAGGCGAGCATTGTTCAACAATCGTTGTCTGGCTCATTCGCTACAGATGTTCGCAGAGGGTGCTTGTGAAAGTACCTCATATCATGTTGACTTCTCTTCGACCTGAGCAAGGTAAATCAGGTTTGACATCTCCCTTGACTTGACTCCAAGTTGGCAGAGATCGTGTCCGACGAAGACGATTCTCGCATGAGTCCTACACAGAACAATCATTCTCAGCCGTCAATAGCGCTTGACTCTCTTAACGTCAAGCTTGGAAAGTTTGTAGAGTGTATAGTTCGCATCTCAAGAGAACAAATTCCTGGCAAGGTGACCTTGCTCTCTCGCCCTTTCCACTTCTTCTTTCACGTTCTTTCCTTTGCTTGTCCTCTGCTCTGAACGAGTCGCAGGATAACCTTCCGAAGAAGCTCCAAATCTTCTTGACCAACATGACGAAGCATTGCAGGATTCCTTCAAGAGATTCTCAACAGGTGGATGGGAATGGCTCTGTGAAACCTGACCTTGTCCTGCTGAAGATGTCTTCTATCCCTGAGATTCAAAAAGTTTTCAAGAAGAGGAGCGCGCAGATCCGGCGGGTCTTCTTGAGCTACTCGCAGGAAGACACTGAGGATCTTGAGGACGGAAAGGACGAGACGATGAATCTCAAGGAGCTCTATCAGTTCATGAAGGATTCCCAGCAGATGGTGCGTGCTGCCTCCCACTTGACTCTTCCCTTTCTCTCAGTACTGCTCTCCCCTCCCTCCTCTCAGCACTGCACTCAACTTCCTCTCCTAGGACTGCTCTTCCTCTATCCCTGCAGCACTGCACTCTACTTCCTCTCCTAGGACTGCTCTTCCTCTATCCCTGCAGCACTGCACTCTACTTCCTCTCCTAGGACTGCTCTTCCTCTATCCCTGCAGCACTGCGCTCCCCTCCCTCTCCCAGTACTGCTCTTCCTCTATCCCTGCAGCACTGCTTCGGATGCGCAGGACTGACGCTGAGTGAGCAGGACAGCAAGTTCGGCATATCCAAACTTGCCTCCTGCTTCGTAACCGCAAACTCGGTGGTGGCCGGCTCGAGCTCAGGGGGGGATGACGGGTAAGAGGACGATGTCTGGTCGGCTGGAGGCGATGACAGGGGTGGCAGCACGTGGAACGACTGGGACTGGGAGCTGGAGTACGATGAGTTCCTTGAGGTCTGTCGAGGAGAGGAGGAGCGGAGTGGGGAGGAGGAGGAGGAGGAGCGGAGTGGGGAGGAGGAGGAGGAGCGGAGTGGGGAGTAGTAGGAGGAGGGGGGGGAAAGAGGGAGGAGGAGGGAGAAGGGGGGGGGGAGGAGGAGGAGGATTGTCTTTATATGACTTGGCTCAAGGTTATTGTGCGGATCGTGGATTTGAAGACGAAGACAGCGGAGGGACAACTGGCGGACAAAGTCGACAAGTTCTTGTCAGACTGTTTCGCGGCAAACACGTACAACTGAAGCGCATCTGGACTTGAGAGCACTGGACCCAACAAGATGAAGAGACAGGCAGCGCTGGGCATGTAGATGTAAATACAAGGTAGAGGAATCGAGAAGAGCAGCTATACTTTTCATAATTTAGACGGGAAAAAGAATGTTGTTGTTCAGTCGACGCCATAAAGTTTGACCCTGCCTCCCCTTCACCTGATCTTTCCCTCTCATCCCCTCATACATCAGGCGGCGTCTGGGGCGAGGAGGCGACAGGGCGAGGGGCAGTAGGGAGGCTCTTGGACCTCTTGACGTGCAGGTTCTTCTTGTTTGACGCCTTTCCCAGCTTGACCGTCGTCAACCCGTCCACGTCCCGAAAGTTGTCGGGGATGAGCCAGCGGATGAGGAGGGCCCACTGGTCGGTGAACGGCAGCACGAAGACAGAGAGCACCAAGTTGAAGATGGTATGCGAAGACGCCAGGAAGATGGTGACGTCACCGGGAGCCGAGCTATGTGGGCTGATGCTGCAAGTGTAGCACACGAGACGACTGAAGGGATGAACAAACGGCAGCATGAAGAGAGCCGAGACGAGTCGGAAGAGGAAGAGAGCGACTGCCAGTCTCAACGCGTCTCTGCTCTTGCCGATGGCTGCGAGAAGTCCCGTCACACAAGTCCCCACGTTGGCTCCGAGCATGAGACCAGTACACGCGTCCATCTTCAGCATCCCCTGCCTCGCTAGCTGAAGGAGGATGCTCATGGTAGCACCCGACGACTGGATGAGGCCGGTGAAGAGGGTCGACACCAACATCCCCAACCACGGATTCGACATGCGCGACAAGAGTCGCAGAAACCCCTCGTGAGTCTTGACGAAGCTGAACGCGTTTCCCATGATCTCCATGCTGTAGAACAAGAGACCGAGCCCGAACACTGCGTCCCCGATCTGCTTGGTCTTGATGGCATGTCCGAAGAAAGTGATGCAGTACCCCCAGAAGATCAAGAAGAGACCATAGTCGACCACCTTGAATACCACAAGATACGATATGAAAGTTGACCCCACGCAAGCGCCCAGTAGGATGCCGAAGCATCGCTCCATTTCGATTAGGTCTGCGGAGACGAAGCTGACCAAGATGACCGCAATGCAGCTGAGGCTGTTGGTCAACATGCACGCGAAGACACCCGTTAGGAACCCAGCAAATCGATTGATCGACAGGGCGTGAAGGAAATCCTTCAGCTTGCTACCACACGCTCCTCGAATCCCGTCGCTCAGCTTGGCCATGCTATAGAGGAAGAGGGAAAGTCCTCCCAACAAACTGCCGAAGAGCGCATTCCATTCGACATCGAGCGAGCTGCTTGCACTGCCGCCAGTCAAACGAAGATTGGGCAACGTCAAGCTTTTGCGCTGTTTCAGGCAAGATGTGCAAGGCGAATCAGTGTGAAATCTCCTATGCCTTAAGTTTGGCGTTTTGAGCTGATCGCCAGGGAGGACGACTAACCCCTAACCAGAACATTAGTTACGCAAAGAGACTACATGCTGTCCTTACCATCGAGGAACAGAAGAAAGAGGTGAACAGGAAAGATCCGAGAAGAACAGAGGTGTGTATTCTCATTTCAAGATTTTTTTCAGTGCAAAACAGTTGAAATTTGATGGATTGTTGATGCGAGCAGCAAGCCCGATGCAAGACCTACTCAATGTTGAATAAAATTAGACTCCACGTTGCAGCATCTATCATTTCAATAGAGAGCACAACGCAAGTCAGAACCCTATTCGCGCATGAAGTTTGGACGGGTCACAGCAGAGAATCGGAATACCCAACGATACGTGTTCGATTTTGATAAGTTTCTGAGCCCCCCAAGAAGCTGGTTTAACTCAGTTGATCACTTGTAACTCGCCATGTTTGGCTTGATATGAATGCCTTGCCTCCCTTCACTCGCAGCTTCCAACGCCCTGCTGAAAACATCTCAAATATCAGCGAGGAGAGCAAGTTAGATCAAGGAATGTTTGTTGGAATCTCCTCAGTCACACCCTAATGTACGTGAAGCTCACACAATCGTCATGCAGACTTCAAGTATCTCCATCATAGATCAAACTTCCCCGCCATCAGCGCAAAGCGTTCTCAGGTATTACAGGTGCAGCTCAATGACGACGTAAAAATAAACTTCGAGTTACTGACAACCAACAGGAAGAAGTTCGAATCATGCAGCACAAGTTGTACTGATCTACTTTGCTAGATGTAGCCACCACCTATTCACCCCTTCTTAAACTCTGCTCTCCTTCCATAATTTCATTCTGAAAATAGCGCCCCATTAATGTGTAACCTTCCCCTCCGGATATTCCATTAACTCCCACACAAGTAACATCCCCCGATCCCTTTCACAAGAATCCTCGAAAAGACAACAAACCATGCTAGCAGATACAATAAACATTCTTCGTCCAGGTCCTCTCTCTCTCATCCACCTGCTCTCGGCTAAACAGCCACCCAGGGTCACCTGACCCTTCCCCTTGCTATGTATAGGCAGTCCAAGCATCTTCATCTTCTTGCTTCATCTCCTCTCAGTAGATCATCTCCTTCTTCGCTTCATGTCTCCTCCTGCTCCTGCTCGTGCTTGCTCCTGCTCCCGCTCTCCTGCTCCTGCTGCTCCGATCCTCTCGCCTCTTGTCTCATGGCTTCGGTGGCCACTCCTTCCTCTCTCCTTCTGAGGCGGACTATTTACAACCCCCACCCTTCCCCTGAAGGTTATAAGTGTACCCCTACTTCTACGTCTATCAGTACCGGTGTAATGGGGTACCGTCAACCAGATGACCCGTACTTTCAATTGAATGGTATGTCAGTTACGTATGTAACGATTATCAACCCTACCTACGTGTGGTCAGAGAAATGGACCGGTCCAGTGCCTGCGCAATGCATGGAGAATGCCAGGAGCGGCAGCGCAGTTGATTCTTGCGACGAGCATAGGGGAGATGATGATGAGGCGATCGAGCTGCGAGTACACCTCCTGCTACTGCGAGGAGAACGTTTACCTTCTCTGCAAGCAACTTTGTCAACCGCCTCTCAGCCAAAGTGTGGAGAAAGCATGGGCGATCTGGATATCAAATGAGAACAAGACTGTTGCTGTTTGGAGGCAGGGAGGAGGAGGAAGAGCGTATGATGAGGTCAATGATAGAGAGCTGTCGGGGAGCTTCAATGGCAGTGGTGAAGATGATGACGATGACGATGACGATGACGATGACGATGATGACCAGGAAGGGCTGGCGGTATGGGATTACCATGTCATATGTGCAGTCAAGTATCAGGACAGAAGCCCTGTCATCTACGATCTCGACACGACCCTGCCATTTCCTTCTCCCTTGCAAGCCTACATCAGGCGAGCCTTTCGACCGCAGGCCAGTATCCGCAGCAGCTTTCGTCCTCGCTTCCGAGTAGTTGAAGCGCGGCAGTACCTAGAAAATTTCTCGTCCGACCGGTCGCACATGTTGAAGGCGGGAGGAGGAGGAGAGTTTGTTGCGAAACCTCCCAGCTATCCTTGCATCCTGCGAGCGAGCGGAGAGAACAACGTGATGAAGTTCGCGGACATGTGCGACTTGACCATGCCAGGGGTTGTGGTGGACCTGCCTTCCCTTGTCTCAGCTCTGCGATGAGGAGACTCCTTGATCTTACTTGACATGTGCAAGATAGCAACCTCCGCAAGAGGAGGAGGAGGAGGAGGAGGAGGAGGAGACAGAGAAGTCGGAGCACGACAATGAGGCTAGGGGTATAAAAGCAAGTTACAATTCTTCATTTCAATCCAAAGGTGCAAATCTCCAGCGTGCTAAAAACGATCGCATCCAAGTGATGTAGGCAACTCTCTGAACGATGAGCATGAGGGAGAAGATACCGAGGCAAGGGAAACAGGTAAAGACAGACAGGACAGAACATGTCAAGCAAACAAACGACAAGGCATGTTAAGAAAAGGCAAAGATTGGATTGCTGACCTCCACAAGTTTGTGCAAGTGAAGGTCGACATTGAACCGCTCGGCTCCGAGTTTCTCTGATGCAAGATAGAAATGTGAGATGACATTAAAAACATTCTGATGTCACAAGAGCGATGGTTATCCTCCTCCTCCTCTATCACCTGCGATGAGTTTGCGAGCGTCAGAGAGTTTCAAGATCAGTCGTTCCATCTCGTTGGCAACTATGACAACTCGATCTGCAACTTGTTTCAAGGGGGAGAGGGGAACATGCCTTTGCTCTGTCGTGTGTTGCCTCCCACTCGTTATCTCTCTTCCTCTTGTTACCTAGACTGGGTCCCTCGCTCTGGCCAAGGTGGTCGAGAGTGGACAGAACCTCTAGCAAGACTTGCAGTGCCTTGGGGATTTTCCACACGTTGATGAAAATCTTACAGTACTGGATGCAGATCAGTGTGTTGGTGCAGACACGAGCTGCACTGGAGACAAGTAGAGAAGAAGAGTAGCTGGGGTAAGGGAAACGCTCACCTCAGATGCCACCTTCTTGGATTCGGACCTGAGAAACAATCGCGAGATGATTTCAAGAAGATTCGTTTCCCCGAATGACAACCTTGCACAGCAGTCATAACGAGGATGCTTGACATGAGCTCTCACTCAAAGATTTCTGCAGCAACATCTTCCCACAAAGTAATTGACTGCAGCAACACTGCGAGTTGTTCTTCAGAGTATCCATCGCATTCAAACCATGCTTCACCAGCAGCTGCGCACAGTCGGTCTTCTTCATCCGACGAGAAGATGTTCTCCACAAGAGCATCATTGCAGCTCGTCCAACATCTTCTGGCCAAGTCCTGCTCGTCATCTCAGCAGCGCTCGTGCAGCTAGTGCGATACCGTGGAGCACGAGCTAATCTCTGATAGCGTTTGCATCGCATCCACCTGAATGGATGAGATGAAAAGCATCTTGCTGACCGGGTCGATGGCACCGGCCTGAGGTCAGGTGAGCAAGTAGAGCAGGAGGAGGAGCAGGAGGAGGATGCCGAGGGAGGACGGGAAGGAGGGGAAGACAGTAACGAAGTGGAGTATGAAACCTCAATGATGCTGTCCACAGAGACTGCGAGCCTCGTGATCCTGACATGATCTGAGCCGGGTTATGAGCAAAGAGTCAAGTGACCTTGCGATGGTTCTCATGCATACGATGCGACAGTCAGGGTCTAGCGAGTTCTGCTGGCTCATAAGGAAGGAGACGGAAGAATACAGACAAACCTCAAGGCAATGCACCAAGTTTGGCACCACTTGCATTTTGCACAACATCTGACATGGCATTAATGACATCTACCATGTTCGCTCATGTTACATCTGCAGCTTTCGGGTATTCCGAGACGTCGAACACAACACTAGCAGCGCTTGTTTGCAGTTTCTGGTAATCTTTTGGCGTTTGCCCATCAGGCATGACAGAACTTGACATGTCGTTCAATGCAACAGATCGCAAGGAGACGAAAGTACCTGTAAACATCCTTCAACCTCCCGCTTCCCGTCCTACCTCTGCAAGACATACCTGACGAGGCTGTTTGAGATCATTTCGACCGATCCTCGCACGCGGTAAAAGGTCCCGTTGGACATGCCTGGCAACCCTGATCACTTCACCCGTCAGCTCCGTTGACCTCACCAACAAACGCTGCAATGCCGAAGTCTCGAATGTCAGCGTGTGGGTCATCCAGGACCTGGAGAAGCTTCACTGGACTTGTCTAGTGCTCCATCGTCAGAGTAGACCCGCAGGGTAACCAGAGGAGCATCGAGCTCGTCCAGAGCTGGGAGATTCAAAGAGCACCTGCCAGTCTGTTACTTGCCCCAGGTTCTCACCTGAATCTCACCTGCAGACAGCGTCCAACAGCCCAACACTGACTTGCCTCAGAGTAGTTGCTGGAACACTTGTGGAGATAACATGGACGAGAAGTCGGAGAGCTGGTCGAGAGAGCCCAACACGTCGGTGAGGACTGTCAGGACACATTGAAGAAGCTCTGTAACAGTGTGAGCTCAGAGGAAATCAGCAAAACATGCAGGATGACTGAGATATGAAGTCAAAGCTATGATAACACCCTTCAACACTCAGTGAGGGAGATAGAAACATGCACAGAACGCCCGATAATAATCGAAACGAATCACGACCAAGTAAAACCTAGCATAGAAGAACAGGAACGGGATCACAGACTTTCAAAGTTTTCAAGCTCAAAACCGAGAAAAGGATGAAAAATGCATTCTCGTCTCGCACTTGCAGTCATGATCGTAGGCAGTGCAGATATTCCAGATGGCACCGAAAACCACTTCATAGAAATCGATCCTGCTGAAATCATCTTCATCGCTCTCCTCGTTTGACGAGGCGGATAAAACTTCAAGGAGTGAACTAAGAATTATCGTCAGAGGCATAATCGAGCACTCATCTCAAAAATCACCAGCATCATCTCAATCATCATCATCACCAACACCACTACCATCACCACCACCATCTCCACCTCCATCATCACCATCATCAATCAATTATCTCTATCCCTTTTGACGATTGAACATACAATGTGATGATTGTCAGACCATCTTTCAATCTCACATCACCTCAAAGTTCCATCACTCATGGGGTTGTAACTGCAAGGTTGTACTTCCATGCATTTCAGCGACAGGATCCCTAGCAACTCAACGGCCCACAAGCCGCTCAAGTGACGAGGAGCAGCTGGAGGAAGCAGTCGGAGCAGTCCATCTCGAATACCATTCTCACCCAGCCACTGAGCCAAGACAGCCTGGAGGAGGAGGGGGTCGTTGCACATGGCCTTGAGGGTCCCTACCGAATACAGGCAAACTTGTCGATCCTGATCCTGCAGGAACAGGCCAACAAGGGGAGTCAGAGCCGATCTCGAGCTTCTCCCCACCATCGCCGTCATCTCCTCCGATGTTTCAAGGCTGAGCATCAGCAGCGCTAGAGCTTTGACCGTCACATTCCTGACGTTGTCACAGGCCTGATGGTTCTGATTATCCCGTCCTTTGACCTCCAGCACCATTTGCATGCATTGGAAGACCTGCATCAGAACTTGAAAGTTTTCTCGCTTAGCCAACAGAAACTGGAACGAGTTTGTTCGTTCCAACATTTTAGTTTGCATGGCAGGGGAGGAATTAAGGCCTGTTGCCACATTCTGTTCTGTCGACATGATAGTGTGCATTAACGTGAAAGCTGATTGAAGGCAGTTCGACTCTAGATCGCTCCGTATCCGATGTATATTTTCCTTGATAAATCGAAGACAGCTCGAGAACATTCGCATTCGGAGCTGAAATCTTTCCTGTCCTTTGACACCAGCCTCGTACTTCGGTATGTGATCGTCTTCCTCCCTGGCCAGCTGCTCAGCAGCTGGCATGAAGATGTGAGCGATATGAAGAACTTCAAGTACAATCCTGTCATGCTTGCTGGATTCCAGCAGGTCTTCTAGAACTTTCAGACACCTGCTTTTAGCCACCAGCTTCCTAAGAGCCTTGCTCCTCGCTTTTGTATAGGGGTCGAACGATGTTTCCTTGAGGTCTACAGCAATTAAGAGCTCCCTCAGACATTTCAACAGGGTCAAACAGACTTCTGCTTGCACTGGAGACTCGTTGATTGATGCGAATCTTGCTTCAAGCGCGCTGAGTAGAACTTCAATGCCGTTGTTCCAGGCGATCTTCTCTGCAAATTTTCTGCTCAGTCCTTTCAAGTTTTCCAGGAAGACGTTCAGATCTCGACTGAATCTCTTGAACCATATGGATTTATCTTCGTGACTGGAGGATTCTTTGATCGACCTTAATATTTCTGACGCGGTGATCAACGACAGCCATGATTGACTTTCAACTTACCTACAACTTGTGATTCACTCCCTTTCCCTTCATACTCGTACGAGTTGTTCGAGCCCTTTGATTTCAAATCGCTTTCAAATCTTTCTACCCATTCACTGATGAGAAAACATCAGGAAATGTTATCCAACAGCTGCCAACTCATCCGCACATGTCTGCATGCTCCTGTTGAGCCATGGAAGTCCCAGCTTCTTCGGGATGGTTCGGGTCTTGATAGACGTCGGCGTCATCATCATAATCGCTAGGAGCAAATTTCAGAATCTCCAGGATGATGATCCCCAGCTATAATATGCAGAGGATCATGGGAGTTAAGCTAGACGCTTTCCTTTCACTGCTCTCTGTCTCTGTCTCTTTCTCTTTCTCTGTCTCTGTCTCCCCACTTCTTCGCCTCGATCTCCCTTCCTTATCGTCTTCCTCTTCCTCGTCTTCTCCTTCTCCTCTCGTCTTCCTCTTCCTCCTCTTCTCCTTCTCCTCTCGTCTCACCTTTCATGCTCGCTCGACATGGTACCCTGAAGGCTTTTGACATTTATTTTTTTCCTTTTACACAAACTATTTTACGAATAAAAAAAACCCTTATTGACTAAAAAACAAACCATCCGCATTTGACCCAGCATTTGACCTTCTGTCATATTGTTCTTGAAATCGAGGGTGGGGTGGTTTTTACACCGGTGCTTCATAGGTGTATATCTGGGGTTAGTGAAGTGCAAAATCTGTGTGTAAAATGGGTACGAAGGGTGGTTGGGATAAATGTGGAAAAAGTTTCGGGTCAAAAAATGACTGTGGGCATGAGACGAAACATCATGCAGGAGGCAAGAAGATGAGAGGAAGAGGCAGAGAGGGAGAGGAGAGAGAAGATAGGATAGGGAGGGAGGAAGAGGGGGAGGAGAGGAAAACAGGATACGAGAGGAAGGGAAGTGGGATCAACAGAGACTGAAGCAGGGGCATGGGGCATGGACGGAGACAGTGGCAGGGGCTGGGACATGAACAGAGGCAGAGACGGTGATAGAATCACGGCGACGACACTTAACAAAGACTGAAAAACGGTCAGTGAATATAGGTGTGCAAAAAGAAGGATGGGAGAATGAAAGGTAGGGGACAAGACTTGTCAAGTGGAACATTCGGAATGGGGGGGGAGGGGGGGGCTGAATGATGTAGATACGAGAATACGATGGAGACAAGAATGCAGAAACGATTTCAAGTGCGACCTGATCAGGTTGTGTTGACTGCGAAGGTTTCTTTTAGACTCAAGTTCTCGTCTGCGAATGTAAACCACGAGCAAACTTCATTATTTACGATTCAGGTGAACGATGACAGGTTGATACCCGACTGACTAGTATCAAAGCAGACGGCTTCCCTAAGCACTTCCTGTTGCAATGGTCAAACTCTGCACAACCACGCTTCTGGTCATCGCGACTTGTCTTGTAGGTTCTGTTCCAAGCTCGGTTGCAGATGTGCGTTGAGTTTTGAATTGTATGCTCTGAAATGACACTCGTTTGATTCAGACTAACACGAGCGCTGAACAAAACAATTCAAGCTTAGTAAATCAAACTTTGAATGACTCGACAACCAACGTATTTGTCCACGTGAATGCTCGTTTCTTTGCTCATGGAAGTCGCAATCAGACAGCGTGCAACAAATCAACTTTCACAACAATGGACGAGGGTTTCGGAAATCGAACATTCATAGTGGTACATACCCCACAATTCTAAGACGTTGAGAGTAACGATGATCTCATTTCAGTCAACATATCATTGTCCGCCTTTTGTGATGTATGATCCAGCGCAAGGTAAGTCATACTGCACTCCCGTACAGTGCAAGTCATAACAGATGTATCAAGGAACATTTCAGGGGTTGACCGTAGATCTACTCAACATCCTAGAGCCAATCCTCCAGGTTACTGACCTCACATGCTAATTTGTTGTTCGGGGCAAAGTGTTTGAAGGATCGTCACGGCAGGCAAAGTTCAAGTTCACCATCAACAAAGACGACACAGAGTCGATAGATACAGCGCTGAAAGCCGTCAGCACTGGAGAGGTCAGTCTCCTGGTGCCAAGGGAGAGGTCTCAATCGTGTCTCAGGCTCACCTGGCTGCCGGAGCCCTTCGCATCACGAGTACTTTGAACACTCTGAGCCTGCCGATGTTTGACAAGCTCGCGAAGAAAACAGGACCAAACTTTACGCCTTCACCCTGCCATACTACGACACCGGCTACCAGGCGCGGACCCTTAACATCCTTTGCTGTCTCTCCCCTGCTACTGACTCGACGGGCTCAGCTTGTCATCTCGATGCCCGACGCTCCGCCCAACCTCTGGCAGTTCTTCACCCCGTTCAGCAACACTCTATGGACCGGAGGTACTCCTGCCCTGAGCCTGCTTCTCCTCACATCGTTACAGTTGTTCTCGAGATGTTCATCGTCGCCATTGGTGAGCGGCGACGTGCCTAAAGGCGACGAGGTCATGGCGCGTGTTGACAGGATGGTACCTGATGGAAATGCCTTCCCTCTCCGTCATCCCTTCCACCGGTCACTCTCCTCTTCCTCCTGTCTTCCTGATCAGCTGGACCAGACGTGGTGCCGGGCTGGGTTTGGGGGCTTCTGGACGCGTTCTACTGGTCCATCACTGTCCTCCTTCAGGTGGACTTGAGCTGGGGAGGGGAGGGGAGAGGAGGGGAGGGGAGGGGAGGGGAGGGGAGAGGAGGGCTGTCTAACAAGAGTCGATAGATTGTGGACAAGTCTCCCCGGACATGGGGGGCGAAGATGCTAATGATGGCGCACGGGTGAGAGGGAGGGGTAGGGGGAGGGGGAGGGGGAGGGAGAAGAGGGAGAGGGAGAGGGCAAGGGAAAAAGGAGGAGGAAGAGGAGTGACAAGGTTGTGCTACAGATGGTTCATGTTGATCGTGGTGGCGAGTTACACCGGTAAGAGAAGGAGAGGGTTGGAAGAGGATAAGGAGGAGATTGAGGAAGAGGATAAACGAGGAGGAGGACAGGAGGAGAAGGAAGATGAAATGAAGATGATGGGGGGGCGGGATGGGGGGGGGGGGTAGCAGCAAGAGAATGGAATTGGAGGAAAGAGGTTTTGGAATGCTTTTCAAAAGTTCTTTGCAGCCACCCTCGCCAGTTTCCTCACGACAGCTCAAATGGCGGCGACGTGAAAAGTTCTTGTAAGTGTTGCCATGACTGAAATGTGCTGCAGTATTTCAGGCTGGACTGACATCACTGCAAGCCAAGGAGCATACAAGGTGAGGGAGGAAGTAGCGGTACGGGGGATCAAGTGGTAGTGGCAAAGAGAACGAGAGGAGAACGACGGCAATCCTGTTCATATACGTTTCCAATAACGACAACGACGATAAAAGCAGAAGCAGCAACAGCAGCAGCAAATGCAAAAGCAGCAATGACGATAGTTTTGTTTGCGGTGTCACTTATATGCCTTCCTGCTAGCTTTCACTTCCATTTGGAGGGGCGACGATGGATTTCATCTTGGTGAGTGACGTCAGTCGGACATACAGAAGCAGCTCCTGACACCTTGGACAGAACGAGGAGCTCATGAACAACTACGTCGTAAGTTTTTCACCAGCAGCTCCTTCAAACTCTGATCGTCCTTCAAGTTCAATATCAGCTGGACCTCCAGCTGGCCTGAAGCTTTTGACCTCCTTCTGCGTAAGAAGGTAACTGACTCCTTCGCCTCGTTGTACCTCGTTCTGTCTCCTCCCTCCCCCTCTCTCTTCCTCTCCCATGACTCCTCCTTTTGCCTCCTTCTCTCTCCTGTGCACTTGCTTCTGCTCCTCTCCTCTCTCCTGCTCTGCTGTCATGTCCGCTGCTGCCTCCTGCCCAACTCCCCTGCCTCTTGACTAACAACGTGCAGGTACAAGCGACCCTGCATGACGAGGCTCTCGCGCAATACTACCTGCAGGAAGTGAATGTCAAACAATGTATCCACTCCCCCCTTCACTTCTTCCCTCCTTCTCTCCTTCTGCTCTCCTTTTCCTTTCTCACCTTCCTCGTCTAAAACCT